TGTCTCAAGAGCTTATCCCAATGAGTGAGAGAGGGTCTCTATTTATTGAGTGGGATGATTGAATCGTGTTACCATTTTGTTATTTCTGTGCGTTTTGGATTGGAATTTGTTGTGACGTATTGTCGTTTTTGCATGACATTTTTCTTGTCGTTTCGCACTCAAATTTGTAGGGTCAGCTTCATGAGGTGTGATGGAATGTTATGGGGTTGTGGCTGAGTTTTGGCGTGTACGTATTGTAGTGATATAGCAACTTGGATTATTCACGTATTTGGAAGGTGTAGGATGCTTATGCGTGGAAATAGTTGGCTTAGGATTTGTTTGGTAATGGCTTGGAGAGGTAGCATGAATATGTAGCTTGTGTAATTTTGTTTGGATAAAGTGTGGTGATATTTCATGGCTGGAATGCTGTATTTCGTGGTGAGGGCTGCATGATGGCTTGGCTCGTTGCATGTGGTGACTTGCGCAGGCAGTTTGTATGTTGATATCGCGTGAAGGCTTGAAATTTTCATGAGCTTGGTTTATAATTCGTGTGGGGCCTGCTGTTAGCTAAAAAGGCTTGCTTGGGATATTGTTCATGTGTTTGGTGTGTAATGGTTGTAACATATATGAAACGTCTTGGCTATTATGTAATGATAGTTGGCTTGAAGTGATGATGGCTGAAGTTGTTGAAGCATGAAGGATAGTGGGTCGTGGCTTTGTTTATGAAGGAACTTTCCCCTCTCTTTTATTTATTTATTTATAAATCTCTTTGTTGCAATTTTGTTGTCAAATGGGCTTGTACTAAGATGTGAATTGGGTTGTAAAAAAAACAGTGGGCTTTAAATGTAAATAGGGAAATTTTACCCAATACCCTGCATTTATACCCATACCCCTACATTTTTTAAAAAATACTCATTTTATCCTTATATATTTTAATATTTTATTATTTTTTTCACTTTTTATTTTTTTCAGTCTTCCGAAAAATTCATCCCACGATCTATCGGAACACTTTGAAAATGACTTCTGGTAGGCATTTTTTTTCAAACCGGAAGACTTGGACAAAGAGTTCTGGTTCACAAAAATACTGTACCGGAAGACTTCAGAAAAGAATTTCGGTTTGTTAATTTTCGTGAATGTTCACCGGAAGACTTGTAAAAAGTCTTCCGGTTTGTTTTTTAGCTACCGGAACACTTGCTACAAGTCTTCCGGTTTGTTTTTTAGCTACCGGAACACTTGTAGCAAGTGTTCCGGTTTGAGATTTATTTTTAATTTTTTTTTTTAATTTTTTAATTTTTTTTATGTAATTATTTCAGAAATTCCTTTACAAATATGCGATAAAGATCAGATATTCGTAGATACGTCTGATGTTTTTTCAACAACTCAGAGATTTGGTACACGAGAAGAGGTTTCAGACATTCCTTTACAAATATGTGATAAAGATCAGATATGCGTAGATACGTCTGATGTTTTTTCAACAACTCAAAGATTTGGTACACGAGAAGAAGTAATAAGATGGATTAAAGAGATCGAAATCCGAAATAAAGTTACGGTTATCATCACTCGTTCAGATATTAAAACAGGCAAGAGAGGAAGAAGTAACAAATTAATATTTGGATGTGATAAAGGAGGAAAACACAGAGATATTGGTAGTGGTACCCAGAGTGCGACGAAAAAATGTGGATGTCCATTTAGAATCAGATCAATTCCAGCGGCTGATGGATCTGGATGGAAGATTGATGTAAAATATGGAGTTCATAACCATGGTTTACCTGATAGATTAGAAGGTCACGCATTTGTCGGTAGGTTGACAGCTGATCAGAAGCAACATGATGTTGATTTGACAAAGAGAAAGGTTCCACCTAGACATATATCGCTTTCATTGCAAGAGCAAGATCTAGATAATGTCACTCGGATCACGCAAATATACAAACAGAAGAGTATGATAGAAAAAAATATAAGAGATCCTAGAAGTGAGATACAACATTTGTTTAAGCTTATTGAGGAAGCAGGTTATGTTTATTGGAGTAGAAAAAGAGATGACTCTGAAGTAATTAGAGATATCTTTTGGGCTCATCCAGATTCAGTTAAGTTGTTGAATGTTTTTCCTATTGTGCTAGTTATGGAAAGCACTTACAAGACAAACAAATATAGGCAACCTCTGTTTGAAATAGTTGGCATGACATCAACCGAGTTGACTTTTGCTGTCGCATTTGCCTATATTAAGTCTGAGCAAACTGAGACTTTTTGTTGGGTGCTAGATAAGCTTAAACAATTGTTTGTGAAGAAAGAGTTGTGTCCACAAGTGATTTTGACAGATAGAGATCTTTCTTTGATGAAAGCCATTGAAATTGTGTTTCCAAGGTCGATCAATATGCTATGTCGATTTCATATTAACAATAATGTTGGTGCAAAACGGAAACAATATGTGGCTAGTGACATGCAAAAGAAAATTGACGAGTTATGGACGGATGTTGTATGGGCTAGTGATGAGGTTGAGTATGATCAAAGGTTGAGCCAACTTGAGCAGGCGTGTGTTGATTGTAATGAATTTATTGATTATGTGAATGATACATGGTTGACACCACATAGACAAAGATTTGTTGGAGCATGGATTAATCGAGTGCTACATTTGGGTAACACTACGACTAATCGGTATGTATTTATTTTTAGTATTTATAAATTGTATTTTTTTTTGAATTTTTTTAAAATATTTTAAATATGTATTAATTTTAGGGTTGAGTCTGCTCATTGGAAGTTAAAGCAAATGTTGGGGAACAGTATTGGTGACATGGTCAAATGTTGGGAGGCTATGAATGACAACTTAAAGTTACAATTGAGTAATATTAGAGCTTCTTTTCAAAAGAGTTTTTATGAAGTTGAGCACGCCCACGTAAGTCCATTTTACAATAATTTACGTGGTTCAGTGTCTCGAGAAGCATTGAGACGCATTGCTGAAGAGTTAAAACGAGTTGATTATGTTGGAACTAACAAGGAAATATGTTGTTGTACTCTTAGAACAACCTACGGATTACCTTGTGCTTGTGAGTTGACAGGATATAGAATTGATGGTTTACCGATACCAATAGATGTTGTACATGTTCATTGGAGAAAACTAAGTATGGAAGTTAAGTTGGACGAAGATGTAGATGATGGATCAGAGGTGGATATGAGTAGTACAATAGATGAGTTATGGAAAAGGTTAAGTCACTGGATGTTGTTGGGAAAAGGGCATTAAAAAGTAGGATTTTTGAACTTGCCTTCCCTACAATGACTTCTATGTGTCCACCACCTGAGAAAATAAAAACTAAAGGGGGAGTCAAGAAGAAAGACAAAAAACCAGTAGGATATGATGTTTATAGAGACCCTTCGTATCACGAGTATGTTGATCAAGCATCTCAATCTTCACAGAAGCAATCTCAACCATCACAAACTTCGAAGAGATTGAAATTATCACAGTCTTCACAAAAGAAATCTCAACCAGCACAGGCTTCGAAAAATTTGAAATTATCACAATCGTCACAGTCATCTAAGCAGTTCATCCTTCAATTTCCTAATCACATCAGGTCATATATTGATGATGTAGTTAATGTTGTATCAGATGGTAATTGTGGATTCCGAGTCATTGCTTCATTGCATGGATATGGTGAAGATGGTTGGCCAATGGTTCGTCGAGACTTGGGGTTGGAAATAATACATAATGAAAGATCAAGTTTGTATGTCAATTTATTTACTGATCAGTTAGCAGTAGTGAGAGAATCTTTGATGATAGAGGAAGTTGGTCCTCAGCCACCACATAAATGGTTAACTCTACCAGATATGGGTTACGTGATAGCAAATTGTTACAATGTTGTACTTGTCTGTTTAGGAATTGAATGCTGGACTTTCTTCCCTATGACATCTTCATTTTCACCGAATGTAGCAATTTACTGCATTGGTTTTGTAAACAGAAATCATTGGGTTCAGGTACTTAGTTGTTTTTAGATAATGCGATTAAACCTAATTCTTTTTCGTTATTTTTACTTAATATTGTGAGTTATTTTTTTATTTAGGTAAACATGAAAGAAGGGTTTCCATTGCCACCAGTGACAGTAGATTGGAAGAAGTTTCATTCTCCAGCAGCAACATCTTGGATGATAGGATTTGCAGGACGTCTACAACATTGGCAACAACTTACGCCTATATTACCAACGCATTTTGAATTATAAATTATGTTACTCATTTTTAATTTTAAAACAAAAATCGTGAATTATGTTACTCGTTTTTAATTGCAAAACATGAATCGTGAATTATGTTACTCATTTTTAATTACAAAACATGAATCGTGAATTATGTTACTCGTTTTTAATTGCAAAACATGAATCGTGGATTATGTTACTCGTTTTTAATTGCAAAATATGAATCGTGAATTATATTAACACATAAACATAAACTAAATAGGTCAAATTAGTCTAAAAGTTAACACATGAACATAAACCAATTAGGTCAAATCTGTCTAAAGGTTATCATATAATCATAAATATAAATAAAAGTCACTGTGATAGACCAAGATGTAAAGCTTCGAACAAATCAGCAAATTATGGGTCATCCTCTTCAGCACCAGTCTGCTGAAGATAATGATGTATCAATGAAGACATACGAGCCACTATAGGATCAGATGGTCCTGCTTCATATACAGGAACTGGCATCTCTGTTGTCGCATCAACACTGAGCGGTACCAGACGAGGATGCGAAACACGATAATACCACTCAAGATACCCATCATCTGTCTCATACGGGGTGGTGACCGGTGCTGTCGGACGAATCACATTCTGAATGCTCTGATGGTAACTAATCCAGTCAACATCAATATCACCCGCCGTTCGAGAATCAAGAGGTGGATGTGGAACATACTGCCTGTATCCAAACTGACGCAAACATCTGTCGGGCATGTATGGAACAATAATGTCACCCCACCTCAGACACCCCCTATAGAGGCATAACTCATCAAACTGACGCCATACTCTATGATTCTCGAATGGGTGTCATATGACATCCGCAGGTGTCAGCTCGTCCAGAATAGGCCGCAATTCATCCACCTTCAAGGTACCTTGTCTATATGACCATCTCGTCGCTCGTGGGAGACCCACATTATTAGCTGGTATCCAGTTCTCTCCTCTTTTTCCAAGTGTGGGAAAATACTCATGAATCCAGCACTGTTACAAAATGTAAAATAATTAATTATAACATAATAAACTAGATAAATAAAATTAATATACTAGATAAAATTAATTAAAACAAAATATACTAAATTAAAATAAATACCTGTAGGAGAGTCGGATAACCACCAAGCTGCTTACAGCTGAACATGGAAGCATCTCCGAGATATCGGTAAAGAGTAACCAACGCAGCTGCTGCCCAACTGTATCCTGATAAGCCATCCAAGTCTATAAACAGTGACAGGTATTGTGCCTCGACAAGCGTAAACATCTTGTCCGCAAAAATAGTGGAACCCACTAACATCAGCAAATAAGCTCTAGTGGCATAATCCCATCGAGATGCAGCTCTGTGCTCTACGAACCGATCATATAACCACTCCAGCTTATAGTAGGAACCCCTGCACTCACGGACTTGTTGTTGTGCTATTCTATGTGACACTCCCAAATAATCAAGAGCCCACTCAACAGCAAGCGCTTCACTGATATCTGGAGGGTTCCAGAAAACTCCCCTGATGGGCAAGTGAAGTAGGCAAGATACGTCATCTAGAGTAATCGTCATCTCACCAAACGGCATGTGAAATGAAGATGTCTCTAGATGTCACCTCTCTACAAAAGCGGAAACTAGGTTTGTGTCTATCTTTGTTAAACTGGTTCTCTAAAGTGAAGCTAGACCAGACCTAGATATCCAGCTCTCCATATCTCTAGGTAACTGTAGTGGAACCCTCTGAGTCAACTTTATCCCATGTCCCGCCACCTTTAACTCTTTCTTCGACCCTCTCTCCTGAAAAAAAATTAAAAGTAAAAATATTATAAAATTCAATATTAAAAATTCGAATTCTATTCAATATTAAATAATTTTCGTTTACTTACCTCACCAAACCATATACGGTATGCAACATGTTGTTCGTATTTAACTAACAGAGACGTATCATACGGTCCTCCGGGATATCCAACCGGCTCGGATGTTGATGCTGATGCATCAAAATGCTCTTCTTCAGCCATCCTCGATGACTCGCCCCGTCCTAGTCCACGAGGGATCCTACCATCTCTGCCTCTTATGCGCACCACTGGAAAAAAAAATCAATATAATTAAAAATTAAAAAATAAATAAATAAATAAATATAATTAGAAAACAAAAATAACAAAAATTAAAAAATAAAAAAGCAATGAACCGAAAGTCTTTCTTTGAAGACTTCCGGAGTTGAAACGCAACATTAAGAGAACCGGATGTCTTTAGGAAAGACTTCTGGTGTGTAAACTAAATTCTTTTCTGAACCGGAAGTCTTCAAAAAAGAGTTCCAGTGAGCAACCTAAAAATTTTGTGTTCCGAAAGTCTTAATGAAAGAGTTCCGGTGAAGAAGCAAAAATAAAATACAAACCGGAAGACTTACTCTTAGTGCTCTGGTATGTAGTTCAATTGAAATGTGTTCCGAAAGTGTTTGGGTAAGAGTTCCGGTATGTATCAAAATTTGGAGAGTTCCGGAAGTCTCAAAATGGAAAGTGAGAAATGGAAGTGAAAAATGAAAAAAATGTAAGATTATAAATTTACTAAGGGTATTTTGGTCCAAATTTTTTGAGTGTAGGGGTGTAGGTATAAGGGTAGGGGTATAAGGTAAAACTTCCTGTAAATAGAATTGGTTATATATTTTTTTTGAAAATTTCATGAAGTTCTCTTTTTTTGTAAGGTTTTTTGTAGAATGTATGGTGATGTAATGGACTTTTGGATAATGGGCCTTGAATTGAGGTAAATATGAATCAAGGTTTAAACCATGATAAAGTGATGAATGAATTGGAATTTAATTCACATTTTTGAATTTTGAATTATGATGTGATAATCTTGACTAATCTTGACATGAAACCAAGTGAATGGTGATCTCTTGAAATCATGACCCAAAAAATGAATTAACACCAAATTAATCCTTAGATGGGATTCATGTGATAATGCCTTAAATTGGAAGTCATGTCTTGAATGAAAATAACTTCCATGAATCAATCTTGTAAGGGTTGAATTTAGTCAACAAGAAAATAAAAATAACAGGCGCATATGTTTTTTTGAATTTTTTAATCATGGTTAGCAGACAGAAATACGAATGAGGGTAATATTATACAAGTATGACAAATTTTGAGTATGACAAACAATAAAGAGGATTCTAAGATAAATCAAAGATTTTATTGGCTGCAGAATTTTGTTTCTTGCAACAGACAAGGGTAGAAAGTGCATTTTACTCGGATATACCAATTTCAACTGGTGCAGAGATAAAGTTGATAGAAAATCTACAGTTGAAGACATATTTATGTTCAGAGAAACATCAATCTCATGGTATTCAAAGAAAGAGCCATTAGTGACACTCTCTTCTTGTGAGACCGAGTATATTGTAGCTTCATTGTCTGTGTGCCAAGTTGTCTGGTTGATGAATTTATTGAAGAAGTTATGTAGTGAAAAGGATGAGACTATAACACTCATAGTTGATAACATTTTCACTATAAATTTTGCTAAGAACCATATTATACATGGGAGAAGTAAACTTATTCAGATGAGGTTTCACTACTTGAGAGAACTTGTTAGTGAATGAATATTGAGGTTGGAGTATTGTAGAAGTAAAGACCAAGTAGCCGATTTACTGACCAAATAAGGGTCGATTAAAGCATTCAAGATAGTGAATAAGCATATGAGCATGGAAGACTTTGAGCACATGAATTAAGATGGTGTGTTAAGTGAAAAAGTATAATTCACGAGCCTGTAACCGATTACTGTAGGGCTGTAACCAGCTGCATTCCCTTTAAAAAAGAATCAGAATGTTAGTGTAACTAGTTACACCTTATCTATAATCGGTTATAGTAGAAACAAAATCATCGGTATCCGGTTACACTCTTTCTATAACTGATTACAACTATGGGATTTTATGATTTTTTTTATTGTTGCTTGTAGGGGTGGAAATAGGTCAGGCCAATAATAGGGGCCTACAATCTAGCTTACACAGACTCATGCCAGACCAAACTTTTTTTTTAAATAGGAAAGACCTAGACTTTTTATAAGTCTATTTAGTTAAAAAAAGTTAGGCCTCAGGTCATAAAAAAATCCTTTAAGCCTAACGGCCTATTTAAATAAATATGAATAACTTTTTTTATTATCATTATGTTATGCTTTGTACTTTAAGTTAAAATACATAAATAAAAATTGGTTATCTTGAAAAACTTATAAAAATAAGAAGAAAAAATCTTATGAACAATGTTATAAATTGTTTTCGTAAGTTATCTTAAACAAATAGTCTTATAAAACTTATGTTAATAGGTAAAATTAAAATAAGTCAATGCAAATAAACTTTTAGTCTCATTAATTTTTTAGTTTGTTAGTCTATTTAAACATCATTTTAATTGATTATTTACATATGTCTAAAATAATAAGTTTTTAGGTTGGCTAACAAACTAACCAGATCTTAGAAAATGTCAAACTCAGACTTAAAAATAAGTTTATGAGACTACAGATCAGACTTATGCTTCAGTTTTTTTTTTTGACATATCAAATGTAGGCTTGACAAATTCTAACTCGACTCAGCCTATTTCCATCCCTAGTTACTTGAACCTCATTCAATTTATTTTGAATAAATATTCTTTGAATATTTCATTAATGATTGATCACCATCAATAACGACTCTATCTTATTGATGGAAAATTAGTTTTTATTTAGGGAAAGAGAAGTTAGAATTTAGAAATTTTCACCCAAATAACCAATTTTAACCCCCCCCCCCCCCCCCCCCTAATATCCAAACTACCCTACTTTCCCTCATATTTTCCAATCTACCCAACTTTCGTATTTTTTTTTTATTATAAGGGGGCGCCGTGGGGTATGGCTCCTCCCTTATAATTTATATGGGGGCGCCATCCAAGATGGATGCACCCTATAAATTATAAAGGGGGCGCCATCCCCTTTGGCTCCTCCCTTAAATGACTTAAAGGGGGGCGCCATCCCCTATGGAGCTCCCTTTAAACGAATATAATTTTTCAAATATATTATAATTAATATAATTAAAATTTTATATTATGTTATTCCAATTTTTTTTATATAAATAGGTAGACTTGTTGTTAACATTGTTTCATCCAAATTTAGAAGAGTGAGTCATGTACCTTAGAAGATATGGGCATGTAATTTTTTCACCAACGAAGCCTCCGATAAGGATGTTGTTTTGGAACATCCAGAGTTTAGAACAACTATGAAGAAATTTGAATCGGTGGCTAGAAGGAGACATTCCAAATGGTGAAAGAATTAGGAGTATTGAAAGACTTGTCTCGTACTTCACTATTGAAGACGGAAACATACGGCAGGACTGGGTGCGAATTAGAGATGACAACGAAGTTAGGTCTATGATGTTCGGAACTGATGATATTACTTTGATTGTTGTTATATCTTAGTTTATGTTGTAATAATCGTTGTATTTTTAATGATTTGCGTTGTTGCTGTAGAAGTATTTCAATTTGTTTTTGTGGTAATGAAAAGTTGATATAAATATTAAATTCCACGGTTACACAATTTTTAATGACCAAATTAAATCTACCTAGAACTTGTTCCAACATTTGGACAGTTTTTCCTCGTATGTCCGGGAAGACGACATATTCCGCACAATCTTTACATTTTCTCAGTTGTATCCATTTCAGTTGTAATTCGGGTGCTTTTGGGGCGGCCCTTTTTGTTTCTTCTCATATTTTCGTTGTGGTAGATTGTGTCTCCATGATAGGTTGGCCAATAGTCTTCACTAGCTACCACTGGAAAACTGTTACTGTAGATGCCGAATAAGTTCACGACCTTGTAAACTTCTGATAGCTGCAAGAATGGATCCTAACGAGCAGTTGAACATGCGGCAATGACACGTGAACAAGGCATGCAGAAGGTTTGAAACTTTCCGCAGTCGCACCAATTTTTATGAAGTTCCACCCTGTAGTGTCCCATTGGCCGACCCTCGTTGTGATCCATTGTCTCATCAACAATGAAGTTGTAATCGTGACGATCAAATGGTCTAACTCGATGTGAGGCCGCCTTAGAAGTTTCATCCCTCATATACTTCATGCTTGATTCGCTGAATATTTGCCCTGATTGTAGTACAGCGCTCCATTTTTTGCCTCTTGCCGCAAAAAGTGACCCCAATCTGTAATACGTTGCCCTTACCAACGCAGTGATGGGGAGGTTCCTAGTTCCCTTAAATACGCCGTTTAGGGATTCTACAAGATTTGTGGTCATGTGACCCCATTTACACCCTCCATCAAATGACCTTGTCCATTTCTCGACTGGAATATTATCCACCCACCTTAATGCTTCCGCGCTTGACAACCTTATTTCTTCTCGGTAATACATGAATGATGGTTGGTTTAAGGCATACCCAGCATTCACAACTTTTTTACGGAGATTTCTGTCTTTAATTTCCCGCATAAAATTCTGAGCAATGTGTCTTATGCAAAAGACATGGACAGAAGGAGGATTTTGCCAACCATTAGCAGGATTGTTGTATGCGCTCACAATAGAAGCATGTCTGTCAGAAATTAGACATAAGTTGGGTTGAGGTGCGACATGTGTTCTGAGATTTCTGAGGAAGAAACTCCAAGCTTCGCCTGTCTCACCCTCGACCAGGGCAAAGGCAATCGGAAATATATTATTATTTCCGTCTTGTGCTACCGCCATTAACAATGTTCCTTTCTATTTTCCATACAACCATGTTCCATCGACTTGTATAACTGGTTTGCAGAACGCAAAACCTTTGATACATGGTTGAAATGCCCAAAAGAAACGAGAAAATATCCTACTTCCATCAACACATGTTCCTTCAGGAGTGTATGCTGGTAGTGACTCCAATATTACAACCGTACCAAGAACATATTTTTCCTCCTACAGTTCATTTGGCGGCCGTATCTTGGTCTAGAAGCCTTTCATGAAGTTGAACGACAAGACTCTGCAGTGTGGAGTGCAAAGGTACCGATTATCAACTTCACCACCGTGGAAATGCACAACAGTGATCGTGTGAAACTTCAATTTGGAATGCTTCAAGATATTCCATGTCCGCCAAAGTGCATCCCCGACAAATATCACACCGGTAAAGTCTCCGACCAATGGGAATATAATCTGTGGACCAAGTATGCAAAACACGAGTGTCGTGAATGGAGGCATCACAACAACTATGTTTTGTCCGACACTGTGTTTCCATACGAGATGAAACAATCAATACAATACATGACTTGGTATAGGTCTGTATCAATTGATTTCATTTCACATCCAATGTATCTTGTTGACCCACGCCAACAAGATTCATCATCAAGGCCCCAACAACCAACCCATCCCTATTTCCAACCGCCAACACAACCACATTTCCAACCGCCAACCCAACCTCATTGCCAACCATCAACCCAATACCATTTCCAACCGCCAATACAACCTCATTGCCAACCATCAACCCAATACCATTTCCAACCGCCAACCCAACCCTATTTCCAACCATCAACCCAACCCCATTTCCAACCACCATCCCAACCCCATTTCCAACCGCCAACCCAACCCTATTTTCAACCCCCACTCACACAATCACAACAATATGAACATACCCCTAACCAATTCACTCCATTCACACAAACTCATTCACAATCCACACAATACCACACATACTCCATGGATACTACAAACCAAATAAACACCCAGTTTCAAACACCCAATCAACCCATACCCAGATGACTTTACGGATATGGACCCGTCTTCATGGGCCGAAGTGATGCAATTGCTTGAAGACGACACAATGGACCTGACTCCACAACAAAGACCACAAAGAAACGTACGTGATCAGGGATGCGGTACGGGCGGACATTTAAACCGACCACGGCGTAGAAACTAGTGTACAATATCTTTCGTATTTGTGATTCAATAATTATTGTAATTATTATTTAATATTAAATTTATTAAATACAATTTGATTTTTCTTATTATTTGAAAATTTTTAATGATATTATTAATTATTATTTATTTATTATTTGTAAAATATATAAAAATTATTCAGAAATTATTATTATATAATTATTATTTTTTAAATATTTTTTAATTATTAAATATTATTTATTAAATATTTTTAAACTAATTATACATTTAAAATTAATTTAAAAATTCGAATTTAAGGGAGTTGTCAAAGGGGATGGCGTCCCCTTTATAATTTATAGGGTGCCTCCATCCTGGATGGCACCTCCATATAAATTATAAGGGAGGAGCCATACCCCACGGCGCCCCCTTGTAATAAATAAAAAAAATACGAAAGTTGAGTAGATTGGAAAATATGAGGGAAAGTAGGGTAGTTTGAATATTAGGGGGGGTAAAGTTGATTATTTGGGTGAAAATTTCTAGAATTTATTTAAATAGTTAGAAAAAAATTAGTTTTTATTAACTAATTAAAAGATGAACAGTTAAATAATTACGCAAAATGACTACATTGATACTTATTTTGATGGCGAAATTTGTTTTATTGACTTTATAATTTTATACATAAGATAAAATTATATATATATATATATATATATATATATATATATATATATATATATATATATATATATATATATATATATATATATATATATATATATATATATATATATATATATATATATATATATATATATATATATATATATATATATATATATATATATATATATATATATATATATATATATATATATATATATATATATATATATATATATATATATATATATATATATATATATATATATATATATATATATATATATATATATATATTGAGTTTAATTCCAGCTATGAGAGACCTGCCCTGGCCATGATTCTCTTCTGGAATTCAAGTCACCTAAACTTTTTACTACTATAATAAAACGTGTTGCCAAGAAATTCAATTCACCTAAATTTCTTATTACCTTCCTCCTAATATAGGAAGAACTTGCACAAATTCAGTTTGATTACGGACAACTTCAATTCAACTCACCTAAATTCAGTTTATAACCATTCATTTCATTTTTCTTATTTTTAAACTTAAATCATAAAGTGGGAAGAACTTGCACAAATATTATGTCAGTGGGAATGAAAAAGTTCACTTTTTGTTATGGACATGATCATGAAAATAGAATCAATTGAAAAATATGTTTCATTTTTCAGCATAGAAGCACACTACAAATATGGCAGTATCTGATATAGTTAAAATTCAGTCTTGTTATATGCAATTTTCTGATGAACAAACTTGAATGTATTCAGAATTTACCCCATTTAAGCTTTTGTTAAATTTTTCTCCAAGCTTTAACCATTCAACTTGAATATTTTCTTGGACTTTCTTGGCCATTTCCCTTTCATCTTTCAACTGTGGAACTTGCTCCCTCAACTCATCTCTTTGTACTTTCAGAGTCTTTGCTTCTTCAAAAACTTCCCTTTTTCTCTTCATAGCCTTGAACTTAGCCGATTGAAACACGGATATGTTGCCTTTGATTGCATTTATCTGATCTTCCAGCTCTTTCTTTCTTTGCTCCAGAGTTGCTAGCTGGTTGCACAACTCGTTTTCCAAAGACAGAACTTCCTTGAACTCGTTCTTGTTTGCTTCGAGGCTTTCTTCGAGTTTATCTGCTTTCGTGATGTTGGAGCTCGCTGACTCTATTTTCTTACTAGCATTGTTGTAGTCGCAACTCCACCGAGTGAATTCTCTAGAAACTTCCAATATCAACAATTTCATTTCTGCCGAGATTCCATTGACCGATGACATCTTGGAAAGGTATTCTAGCGTAGATTTCATGGCACCGCACTGTTTCGTTTGCAGTAGAACAGAGAAGTCTTTGGAGAGAAGGTCTTGCAGTGTTTTCAATGCTTTGCTTGTCTCTTCACTTGGCATAGTAGTGTTGGATGATTCAGTGATGACGGTGGTATCTTGGGACGGTGACTTAAAAGAGGACTCAACATCAAGAGAAGCATAAAATGCTTTCATTTCTACGTCGTCGTCGAGAGATAGTTCCTCTTGATTTTGACGAGATTCAAGGCTAGGCAGTAACAAAGTGGAACTGTTTTTATGATTTAGTTCCACAATGGAATTGGAAGCATTATCAATGGATGCAATAGTAACAGCTCCAGTTCCATAATTTGGAGTAGGAGAAAAACATATGACTTGTGATTGAGGCTCGACCTTTAATGGGCGTACCATAAGTGCTTTGCTTAATCCAGAATCTTCAACAAAAAGAAAAAGGTTACTAGTGGTAACTAAAGGTAGCAAAACATTAATACGGTCACACGATCAACCTCAAACTACAATGGCTACTGTATGCTCGATAGCACTGTCACTTCTAATCAAAGGCATGTTGTATTCTACACAGATACAGACACTGACAGAGACACGTATGACATTTGATTAGGCATTAAAAAAAATATCATGCTAACCTTTGGCACTATAGGTACCTCTAAGATATGCCGGAGACATTGAATCTTGAGTAACAACACCGACAGGTTTTGGTCGCTTGGGACATATGACTAAATGCCGCTTCAAATGAGAAGTTCCACAATTATCTTGCAACAGCTTTCCACAGTATTTACATAGAACTTTACTACCTTCAGTTGTTTGAATGCGCTGCATTTCTTCCCAAACTTTAGAGGTCATTTTCGGGCGCTTTGAACTATTAAAATCTTCGCAATCATAATCTATCTCGCTGCTCATTGTAATCTCATTTGTCATTTTCTCCTGTGAAAAAAAATCAACTAAACTAAACAAAGCAAACTAATCGAGAATTTCATATCCAAAAGACTTGGCTATTCACTTAAACAATAGTATGAGTTCACAAAGATCGTTCACAACCAATCATATTAACGACTACAAAAGTATGATTAATGATGACAATGTATAAAATCATTATAGTGTCAGCGGTGTATATGAATTAATTTTGTAATATATATTCAATTCTCATAAAGTAACTAAATTCCTAATGTTGTCCTAAAAATATTCCGTTAAGACAGTTGGTAGCTATGTAGAAACATCAAGTGCATGGTTGCGGGTTTGAACCTATCATCAATATGATAACTTAATAGAGATTCAATTTTTCATCATTTTCCAGGTTAATTGAATTTTTGTTTTCAACATAAACCAATTTTAAAGGTTTCCACTATTCAAATTTTACAAATTTCACAAATTGAAGCTTCAATAACAATAAAACTTAAGTCAAGTCCTCTCTATTAGATCGTAAATTCCAAGTCCAAATAGTGAAATTGAAAAAGAAAAAAAAAAAAGAATCACAAGATTTAAAGCAAAAAGAATCTGATGAAATACACAGAATATATGAATCATAAAGTGATTGTGTTACCTGGGTTCTGCTATTGTACCCAGCGAGCTGAACCTGTTTGAAGGCAACAATGGCAACAAGTTTCAGAGACTAACGGCAGATGGTAATGCGTCAGGAGAGAGAAGAACTGACCGGGCTATGTAGGCTTTAGGCTTGAGCCCGGGCCGGATTTGGGTAATCCATCGCTTGGGCTTCAGCCCATGACCCAAAGTTTGATGGATTTTCTTATTTTCATTTTTTTTTTAAAGTTTTGATCTTCCAATTTTAAAAACAAATACTTGATTCATAATGCTTGAAGTGATTGGGACTCGAATTTGTGAATTCAAGTGAAAAAGAACCAATGGTTCTACATGTTGACAAACTGCTCTAACACAATTCTGTTGATCAATATATGTAAGAGTCACGTTATTTTTATTATTTTTATATTTATAAAATTTATTTTTTTATTTATCTTTTGTTTTCAATATTCGTGTCGAACATAAACAAATAAAAATTATTTTATAGTTCCATGTTTATAAATATTTAAAAACAAAACTAAGTGGAAATTTATAGCTAAAGGTGAAAACAGTTTCTTTTTAAATATTTTTTTTTGGCAACAAAAAAGATTTATTAAAAAAAATATATTTTTGATTTCTTACCATCAATTTTAATTAAAAAATATCACATTATTTTAAAAATTTATATATTTTTCAACTCAAACTATAGATATTTAATGGAATACAAATTAAAGATTATAATGAATTAAATTACTAGATTGAATGAATAAATGAAAACTTAAAGCAAACAATTTTTTAAAACAGTGTTAAGTATGCGTGTTTGCGGTTCAGTTTGAGCAATTTTGTCGTTAAAAATTATCCGAACGGTAAGAGAAAAAAAGTGAGATTCAATTTAGTTCGGTTGTCTTTTAGAAATAAAATTGAACTAAATCAAACTAAATTAATATGGTTTGAATTGGTTTAGTTAGTTCGGTTTTTTAAAAATATATATATATTGAGTCATATATATATATATATATATATATATATATATATATATATATATATATATATATATATATATATATATATATATATATATATATATATATATATATATATATATATATATATATATATATATATATATATATATATATATATATATATATATATATATAAAACAACATAATTTTAGATTTAATTATTTATATATTATCATAAAATAAGTTTATAATTTGATGCATAAATATAAAATGTATATTACAATTTTATCTTATGTCTAAAGGAAATCTATAAAATGACATTTTTAAATGAATTGACTTAATTAGTCTCGGTGTCTCTTAACTTAATTTTAGATTTCATTTTAGTCTCTTATTTAATAAACGCTACATTTTAGTCTCTTAAAAACTATTTTGTTAGCCAAATTAATCTTTTTTGTTAAACGTTAAATTTGAATGATGTGGCATGACAGCGTGACAAAAAACAAAATAATGAGTCAGCAATTTCGTTAATAGACTAAATTAAAACCTTATGGTTAGTTAAAAGACCAGACTTGAACAATAAACAAATTGTGATTTAAGTGACCAGAATAAAATTTCATAACATTTTATCAGACCATAATATGTTATTTACCCTACCAGATTTTCATACCAACATAATCTTGAATTTAATAGTATTAAACTAGAATTTTGTTACATTTTTTTATTCAAATCAAAGTCATTAAACTAAAATGACATTAAACATGTTCCAAAATGCATAACATATACACAGACACAACTACAAAATATGTGCACAAGCTCTACTATAAATTTTGATCATTTTGAAGTCTTCTTTGAAATCGACCGAGGTAAAAAGAGTGGGGGCTTAGATTGAATTGATATTTCCAACTTGGTAGTGTAAACTCAATCTGCTTTAATCTTCTTGACATGTTTCATAAGTTGAAAATACTATTGAAAGTGAGAAAAATATACAAGAAGGGGGGTTGAATTGTGTTTTCCTTTTCTTAACTTTACCTCTGATCAAAGTTCAGAATCTAAAATGATGTTCAGATCCTGATTAATACATTGCAGCAGAATATTAATAAAAAAAATAAAAGATAAAGAATACACAAATTTATCCTGGTTCCTCCCAACTAAGAGTACTCCAGTCTCCTTGCAGCATAAGAGATTTTCACTATAATCAAAATATGATCATAATTGCTTATGCACTTAAGCATAAGACTTTTCTTGCTCAAACCCTCAGCTCGAGACTTCCTACTTAAGCACATAGCAAGAGACTTTATCTAAACTACTAAACAATATGTTTAGCAGAATAGAGAACAAGGTGTACTTGATACAAAACTAGAGGTACATAGTATTCACCATAACAAAGACCTTAAGCACTTAAGATTTCTAAGATATTCAATATTTAAGAAATCTTAAAGCTTTGTACAATTTACAACATATAACAGAATTTTTGTATACTCGGTTGTGTTGCTTATTGTTGATGTTATTCATCCATTCAGATAGAAGTGTAAAACACTTCTATTCTTCTTGGCTTTCCTTCTCTATTTGCTCATTGTTCCTTATTGAAAATTCAGATTGAACCTTCAGCTACTTATGTAGCAGTTGTAGAAGACTAGCCATTGGAAGAGATAACTTATACAAGTGTCTTTGTTTCTCCATAGTACAAGAGACGTTGAAGATAGATACACCAAAAGATATTAATATATTATGTAATTGTTTAACCATTGCGTCTTTTATGTAATATTATATTATAGATCCTTTGAGAGTAGATATCTGTAAAGCATGCCAACTCTTCTTGAGCCTTATGAACACATACTCTAGCTGACAAACTGATTTGGCAATGCATCTTGTTTTCCGCGGTACAAATAACTTTAGCTTCATTACTAACTCTGAATGTTCACCAGAAGCTGATACATTTACTAAGTATAGAGACAATATGTTTCTCTTCTGATGCTGAGGCCTTCAGCTTCAGAGTCTATGTCAGACATCACTTAGAGAGTATTTTTCATATTCTAAACGATCATAGGCTAGTAACTCAGCTTCTCTTAAGTGCTTCTTTATATCAAATTCTCAAAGTATTCTCTTTAAGCTTTAGAACCTGCATACTTGGAACACACATTAGATAACACCATTATTCTTTCAATACTTTGTTATCATCAAAACTCAAAGGATATATGTCATGAACAAATATTATTCTAACAATATCCCCCTTTTTAATGATGACAAACATAAGTATTTAAAGAACAATGTTGGGCAATTATAATTTTCCTGGCAACATCAGGGTATGAGGTTTATAAGTTCCCCCTGAGTCTAATACTCCAAGGTTGAGTTCTGTAAACTCTCCCTAGGTACTATATTCAAGAAAAATATTTTAGTTTTCTTAGCAACATCAGAGTCTAAGGTTTCTAAGCTCCCTATGAGTCTAATAGTCCAAGGTTAAGGTTTGTAAGCTCTCCCTTAGTTCTATATTCAAGAAAACTAAAATATATTACCCAGGAAAAATAACCAAAATAACAAAAATTTAAAAGTATATTAAATTATAAATGAACAACATTAAATCTGAAGGGTTCAGATTCTTTATTAAATACTACTATATATTTCTCCCCCTTGAAGGTGAGAAAAATACACAATAAGAGGGTTGAGTTATGTTTTCCGTTTCTTAACTTTGCCTCTGATCAAAGTTTGTATCCTAAACTGGTGTTCAGATTTTGATTATACATTACAGTGAAATGTTAGCAAAAGCAAATAAATGATAAAAAACACACAAAGATTTATACTAATTCCTCCCAAAAGAGAGTAGTCATGTCCTCTTGCATCACAAGAGATTTTCACTATAACCAAAACATGATTACAATCACTTATGAACTTAAGCGTAAGACTTTTCTTTACTTAGACACTCACCCTGGGACTTCCTGCTTAAACCCTTCGGGTCCAAGACTTCTTCTTAGGTTCCACGAACCCAAGACTTATTTACTTAAGCCCCTCAGACTCAAGACATCTGCTCAGACCCTCGGTCTAAGAATTTCCTGCTTAAATTTCACGAATCCAAGACTTCTGCTCAAGCCCCTTAGACCCAAGACTTCCTTGCTTAAGCTCCACAAACCCAATACTTCTGCTCAAGCCCCTCAATACCAAGACTTCCTTGCTCAGGTTCCACGAACCCAAGACTTTTATCAAGTCCCACAGGTCCAAGACTTTAGCTCAGACTCACTGTCTAAGACTTTCTACTTAATCAACAACTAATCAAGACTTTTAATGCTCTATCACATAGCAGAAGACTTATTTGGCTCAAGCTTCTCATCAAGAGACTTTGATGCTTAAGCACATAGCAAGAGACTTTATATAAACTACTAATTGATATTGTTTAGAAGAATAAAAAATAAGGTGTATTTGACACAAAATCAGAGGTAAGGGTAA